CAGAACAGAACAGAACAGAACAGAAGAGAACAGAACAGAACAGAACAGAACAGAACAGAACAGAACAGAAGAGAACAGAACAGAACAGAAGTGAAAAAATAATGTAAAGAATATACTGTATCACAGAAAGCAATTTACCTCTAAAAGATGAGCCAGTAGTCTTGGGTGAGTAAGCAAAGCAATACAAGATTGACATAAGACACCAATGCGACCCTAAAGGCAGGAAAGATGTATATCAATATAAAATTCCTTAACCAGCTTTTTTTACGTAAACATTTCATTGTGTATCCGGTTTTTTTCGTATCATTCTACGTATCTTTACGTAGAATCTCTACGTTACCGTTACGTATCTTTCTTTGCTTCACGTACCTGAAGCATCTCCAACACATCCAGTAAATTAAACCTCCATTCCTTTGAGTAGTGYCCAAGCTCAAACAAAAACGCCGTGACCCCTTCCGCTTCCGCAAGAGTACTAGGAGACTGGGACGAACGCACCATGTCCATTGATCGTGCCAGTCTCTCACGGTGAACTCCAGCGAAATCAAAAACCTCTTTAAGAAACCCGTGTCTTAAAGTTCTCAGCATGGAGGCCATCACAGCGAGACTCAGATGCCAGATGTTTGTCCAGTTCTTTGAGAGAGGGGAGGTTGAGTTGTCATTTACTTGGATGGGCGTTGGTTTGRGTTGATATGAGACCTAGGGTAGGACAATGAATGCTGATTAAAGAAATTAAAATTTGCATCTCTTTAAGTACATATTATATAGAGGATATTACATGGGCGCGCGGAGATACGGATTTTATCTTCGAATGTTGAAAAGATCTTTCACAAATGAACGTAGCGATGTATGGAAAATGAGGTGACTTCTTATACCCATTTGAAATCCGTTTCCATTCATCGGTTTAAAGGTTCAATCATATAATATTTCTACTCATAGTATAAATCGATAAAAAGAGTTAGTTTTTGTTTTTATTACGATGTATTTTTATTTTCAAACATGAACACAAGCTTGTAAGAGGGATGAAGGCACTCACCGTTTTGCTATCGTTTTCATTGTTAAACAACGATGCCACCCCAAGACACAGCGTTTGAGATAAATTATTTAATGCCAGCGCCTCTGCACTCTAAACCAGAATACAAAGACAAAAAATATATTAACTGAATACAAGCTGATAATAATACAACCATAACAGCATTTGAAGGCAAACACCAAAAAGCGCGAAAAAGTATTAACCAAATAGTGCTAAATAGCGCAATATAGTGTAAATTATTACAATGAATATCTAGGCGTTGCTTACCACAGGAATTCTGGATAGCGAGAGGAAGAGATGTAATACCGCTTCAGTAAACTCCAGCTTTTCTCTTGTCTGAATCAAAATTATTATCCTCTATTACTTGTATATTCAATACAACATATTTATTGAGAAACAAAGGAGTGGGGATCGCGTCCATAAGACATGGTCAGAGGTTGGGTCATTTGAAAAAATTGTATCTTACTAGGGGGGCAATCCTTTTTTTCGAAAGTTTCAAAAAACCAGAGTCTCCCATCCCCTCTCCTCCCGATAAGAAATGAACCGTCCAACGACTCCAAATGATATACTACGTACAAAATTTCTTGTATCAACCACCGATTCTACATTTATTATTCTTGTTGACATACCCGGACACAAATATCCAACGCTTGAACCAAAGAYGCGAACAGCGCATGCTCTCTAAGTACAGGAAGCCACTGACCAGGGTTAGTGAGTAAAATGTTGAGGATTTCATCGATGACAAAGACGGACAACTCTAAGATCTGACACAAACAAAACAGACAATAAGATAGAACCAAGGGGAAGTGGGGTGGGGAATGACGTCATTTGACTTGTCGAGGTGCATCATGGTATTGATAAAAGGCAAAACGTCTTCAAAAATACGAAAGACGCCATTTTGTTTTTTCTTTGCTAAATTCAAGTAATCCATTATCGAGTATTCTTTGRAATAACATTAACGAAGTTGCCTGTACTCTAGTCTCCTCTCGCAGCCGTTAGAACGTTCGTTCCCAGACGGGGGAGTGACCTGGGAACGAACGTGCTTACGGCTGCGAGAGGAGACTACCTGTACTCTAGAGAATACTCAAAGAACTATAAAATAGGTCTAAATGAACAAAGCTTCAGTTTCTAAATTGGTCAGTTCCATAGTGCATCTGGCGGTACTTCCAGTCCCACAAATGTGACAGTCACGCAATTTTTACCTTGTCCTGGTGGATGTCTTCTTTGCCAAGGCGACCGTTCAAATACTCTAAGGGTTCACAGGCYAGTGGCAGCAAAGCCATGGCATATCCACTATCGAGTTTACCTGAGTTAGAATATAGAGAAAAACTAGTAACTAGTATAAGAAAAGAGGTTCTTTTTGAAATCAAATGGGGTGGCCTGGTGACTACACAACTGAAATGTGCCGSTGAAAAATWKGCAACAGGMATGCAATGCGGTCGTGGCTCAAATTGTTYATTCATAACGAATGTATGGTGACTTGAAATATCTGTTAGCAATCCGTTTCCATCCGTAGTGTTAAGATGGAACCTCTCATCTTTACTCATAAAACATACATGGATTATAAAGAGTAACTCGAAGAGAAGAGAAGAGAAGTGGAACCTCTCATCTTTACTCATAAAACATACATGGATTATAAAGAGTAACTCGTTAAATTTCAAATTAAAACATTATGATTAAA